TCCAGGGAGCTCTCCGCGCTCCGCTCCGGGTCGGCGCTTCCCGCGAGGAGCAAATTGGCGTCCTTTTCGCCCGTCCTGGACGAAGATGGGATCTTGCGAGTGGGAGGCCGCCTGAGCCATTCTTCCTTGCCATATGCTACCAAGCATCCCATTCTCCTGGCGCAGCATCCACTGGTCAAATCACTCATCCGGTATATTCACATCGTCGCCCTCCATGCGGGCACTCAATTGACGCTCGCTTCGAGTCGCCGGGAGTTCTGGATTCTGCAGGGGCGTACGTTAGTAAAATCCGTTATTCATGCATGCGTAACGTGCACACGGGAGCGTGCCACGAGCATGACCCAATTAATGGGGCAACTGCCGGCTCCCCGAGTCATAGCGTCGTCACGCGCCTTCCTTCATTGCGGCGTTGATTACGCCGGTCCCATGGACACCCGTGCGTCAGGAGGCAGAGGCATCAAAACGAGAAAATCATATGTATCGTTGTTCGTATGTCTGGCCACTCGCGCAATTCATTTGGAGTTGGTGTGTGATTACACGTCAGCCGCCTTTTTAAATGCTTACGGCCGTTTTTGCAGTAGGCGGGGGCTTCCATCAGACATTTATTCGGACAACGGCACAACATTTCAGGGCGCTGAAAGAGAGTTGAAACAAGCATACGCGCAAGCTATCTCAGATCCGAATGTTTTGAGCTATGTCGCCTCGCAGTCAACGCAGTGGCATTTCATACCCCCTCACGCTCCCCACTTCGGAGGGTTGTGGGAGGCAGGGGTGAAGAGTGTAAAACACCATTTACGGCGTGTTCTCGGCGCCCACACCCTTACGTATGAGGAGTTCTCGACGGTCTTGTGTCGAGTGGAGGCTTGTCTCAATTCCCGCCCAATCGCCCCATTATCTGATGCTCCCGACAGCCTGGAGGTATTGACTCCTGGGCATTTTTTGATCGGCGCTCCTCTGACCTCTCCACCTGAGCCTTCCCTTCTTGCCCTTCAGGAAAATCGGCTTTCCAGATGGCAGCTCCTCCGTCAACTGATCGAGCGCTTCTGGAAGCTTTGGCAGGACGATTATTTAAATACGCTTAACCAACGAAAAAAATGGACCAAACCCCAGCCTCAGATAAAGCCGGGTCAGCTAGTCGTGATTCAAAACCCCATGCTCCCTCCTTGCAAGTGGGAATTAGGACGCATAACCCGCTGTCATACAGGCTCTGACGGGTTGACTCGCGTGGTCTCCGTGAAAACTGCGTCTTCTGAATACAAGCGTCCCATTGCGAAACTATGTTTGCTCCCGGTGGAGATTGAGCCTTCAAGCAACCAGCCGACCTCGGATTTCCATCGAGCGCGGTCAAATCTCGCAACGTCAAAGTTAAGTTAGGAGACGGCGTAAAAAAAAAAACACCGGTTCTTCCCCGACACATTGCTTCCCCACTTGCGTCAGCTCCCTCGAGGAGCTAGAATCCCCGGTTAAATGTATAATATTATCACTGCGGTTGCCTGGCTTCATTGGTGTTGTTCCAAACAATGTTGAAATGTAGGATAAGCTAGATTAAGTTAGGCATAAGTTAAACTGTAAGAAGATATAATCGACGGCGAGGCCTGTGAGCTTTCTTATGGTCGTGATCGCTCCATGGAGCTGGAGAGGCACCCGAGCCTCCCAGTTGAGGTTGCACTCAAGCCGTTACGGCGGGCGGCGTGGATTATCCACATGTCAGCCCTTTACGCGGTATGGAGAGTGCTCGGTGGTCTCTCGCGTCTGCGCGGGTGCGTTATCGCCGATGTGAGCGATGCGTTTCGAAATTAATATTTCGAGGCGGGCGGCATGTTCGGGATTGCGACGAGAGGTGAGGGGGGGGGGCGCGAGTCGCGAGGCGCGAGACTTACGGTTGACGAGCGCGACGGGGCAGCACCCCCTGGGTTGGCAGGATCGAGAGGGATCGAGCGACGATCGAGCGCGGGA